GCATTTCATTATTCATCTCTGTCCGTTGGAGAGACAGTTTTCCACAGGCGTAGAGGGAGGGTGAGTCTACAACGAAAAATAATGGAGTCAGCGGTACTAAGCATAAAGATACTGGAAAGTGATACGTAACCTCCGATCGGTAAACCCAAAACAAATTCCGGTCTTTAATATGTCACATTTTCGCCAGCTGGCGGGAAAATCGCCCCATGTGGCATACGAAGTCGATGCAATGGCTCCGTCGGTCACCAAGGAGAGCATAATGTAGAAAGAAATCAGATGCTTGCATGAAAATTTTCACGCTGTTCGCTTTTCTGACGATTACTGTTTCGCAACATACAGTGGTGACGCCGAAAGTGTAAATGATCTTCTTGATAAGTATCTTTCCATAAATTCAACTTCGTTCATATAGAAGATTAAGTAGGAAAGGAAAGGAAAGTCTTAAGCACTCTAAACAACAAACGTGTCTAGTTACAATGATAAGGTTGAGATCGGACGTCAGCATTATCAGGCGCCTCTGGCAGCCGCTTCAGTCCATGTAACGATCTCACCTTCCCGCCCATCCCACCCAGGGGAGGACATCCACCAGACAGTAATCTCGTGCGTGGGAAATTAACGTCTCCTACCCCTCACCCTGCAGGAGACGAGGCCTACGATTTATTTGTCCTTATCCGAGAAGATTAGAATATCTATCCATTTCTTGATATTAGAGAAAGGTGGTAAATTCTCCTCAGTACATAACTCTTTGTGGACTGGATGAAACTCTGAAACGAGATGTAACATCACGTACGGTGACTTAGCATCATCTTGCCAAATTTCAAAGCAAAAACAGATGTGGATTGTTACGCAAAATGTAGAAGATTTGAGCCTAATTGAGCAATCAATAGCATTAGTTAGTCAATTTACGAAATTTTATTTACAGAACGATTGAGTTCCGTTAATTCTCTTCCGACCAGGTGAGCTTCAGTAATAAGATTTAAATTTTAATTTCATGATGATTAAGATTTTCGCATGAATGCTTTAACATGCATCTCTAAGTTATTTCATTACAGAAAGTAGTTCAGGATATTGCTCAACAGTATTATGTAATTCAACAGTATTTTGCAATGTTTAGCTCAACTGAGCGGTCTGTGGGTTTGTTTGTAAAGTCTGCGGTTAAAAATACATGAACGCTAATTACGTTAAAAGTCTTTCTGTTTTTCATCTGCGATCTCAAAATTAAACATCTCTCCTTTCCTATTTACTCACACAAAGTTTTTTGACATTGTTGATCCCAGCAGAATGCAAGACGCGTGTTACAAAGGAACGAAGAAATGGTCTAGTTTGACATTGAGCCTCTGTGGCTTAGTGGTCAGCAGTAGTGCCTCGCAACTTTAGAAAAGAGCTTGCCTGAGGTCTAGCTGGACAAATGGAATGCCTTACGCATGTCGTCTCCTGTTTAATCCGTTTTCTTTTAGACGAGCGAGAGAATTGTGAGTTGAAAGGGAATTGCACTACTGGATGAGCGCGGTAAAGAGAGCCACAACAAGGACAAATTTGGACACGAGGAAATTCGTTAAGGATAAAAGCGGGCATGTCACAATAGAAAGCCATCTCCTAACGAAGGCCGTACGGCAAGTTTTCGTTTGCGAGTGGCCGCTCTAGGAAACGTGCACGCGCGTGAATTGCGCTCGGGTGAAGCGATATAAATGGCAATCGAGAGGGAAGGGGAAAGGTTGAAGAGGGGAAGGGGGGAGGGGGGAAGGAGCTGTGGAATACATGCAACCGAGTGTTTACTTAGATGTGATGCGAGAAAGCGTAATGGCACTTACCAAAAATTTGGCACGCTCCCAGGTGCCAACTTAAACTGATACCAGAGTAGACGTATTTCCGAAACTACTGGAATTGATGGATCTGTAAAAACCTTATGAAAGTCATGAGCATTAAAAAATTTAGTCAAATTAGTAGTTTCTTTAAATTTCAAGTGGAACAAGCTCTAATTGGCTTTATCATTCCCATAATTCTCTCTTTTTACGATTGGTACGAAGAAGATAATGCTTTTAAATCTGGTTTTACATCTCCTAACACTAACAAAATGATATTTGGTGCATGTAAGTTTATCTGTCGTAAGTCATCGATAATTACCGGAAAAAACATCAGTGGTCAAACGTTGATAATTCATCACCTGATTCACAAATACTAACAACAACTAGACTATCGGTTGCCTCTGCGCAGGCCCGAAAGAGTCCGTGCCAATGCATATCATGTGATAATATCGGTCAATCAAGAATGCTTGGTGTTTAACTAGGAACTGAATAATTATATTTAGTCTCCAAAGGAAAATATAAATTCTTGTTTTCATTCTTCATTTTTTCCTTAAAAATATCTACAATATTTCATTTAAAACTGACTTAAGGTGTACACGTGATAGGCTGTGTTTCAAACACTAAATCAGTCGAGAATTTGAAATGTTGAATCTCTCGTGTTTTTCATTTTTCCACGAAGATATGGACAAAATTTCAGTTAAACTAGCTTAACTCAAGGTAAAAGGCTGTGATTGAAAAAAAAAACATAGATCAATCTCGGATTTAAAAAATAGTATCTCTCAAAGAATATATTAAAACAACTTCTTGTGAATTGTTTGTATGAATGTTCAATAGATTGTCACTTAAAACCGCAATCAACAGTTTCAGATGTAGGTTAATCACTCTAACACGGAAATGAACTGTTTGTATCACACAAAGTCCCACAAAAGATACAGGCGGATTGTCTTATTTTTTTGCGCGCAGCAAACTTCAAAGGATCCAGGGTGGAGCATTCAACCTTTCGTGCACAGGGCATCATGAGTGCAGAGGTGTACTAAAGCTGAGATGCTGGCCTTGCTGCCTCAGTTCTAACAGGAGCGGTGTTAAACCCAGGTACTGCCATCCTCAGGAAACCAGCTCCTCGTAAGATCTCTGCTTGCTCATGATTTGGCAAATCTTTCACGAGCCCAATTGTTGTCTGCGAGCGATTGAACTCAGTCTCGGGTTATCGGTAGGCCTCTCACCTGCTACTGTAGCTCGGCGTTGCCTTCTTTGTCCAGGAACCTCGGCCCTCCGTCCTTCGTCTGGTGCTGCTTCGCCGGCAATCATCTTTCGGGACACTTTCGGATTCCTTTCGGCCACGATCCTCACGCACAAGATCTTCTAATTTAGGAGGATGATACTGAGAGACTTTTGCGTTTCAGAAAGGAATCATTGCAAAGGCTTCTTCCAATTTTCTTTGTCTTCTTCTAGATCTCAGGCGTTTAATCTTCTTAGGGCGTTCTCTTATTCTTCGTCCTCCCCATGCACTCAACATCAAACTAGAAATTGGGGCCACAACGTCTGACATACTGCGACAGTACTTTGGCTTGGACTTTTGAGCTGAAGGGATGTGGGGAACGGAATTTGGTTGACTGCTAATGCTTGGAGCTTTTGCTTTTAACTGGAGCATGGTCTTGCTCGTCAGACTTTGATGCCAGGGGAAGGGACTTTTCTGACAAACTTCCTCTAGATTTGGGCTTGGAGGTTGTGCAATCGGCGTTTGGTTTAGCTCTATCCGAAAAATGCGGACTCGTGCTTTGTTTTGGTTTCTCCGGCAACCTTGGTAAGGGACAAACATTAATTTGAGCGGCTTTGGAAGGTGGTCGTCATGGCTCGCCATTTTTCGCATCGTAGTACTTTGCGACGTACAAGTGTTGGAGGGCAAAGGTGGACAGCTTTGAAGCTGATTCGCGAACAATATTCTTTTCCATATTTTCGATCTCGTCCAGCTTTTTGCACAACGACTTTTCCTCGCAAGGGTTTTTGCTTAAAAGCGCGATTGACAAATAACTCTTCATTCTCTCACCTTGTTTCAGTTCTCAGTCTTGTGTCAGTTTAACTGGAGGGGAAAATTTAGACTCATCAGGTAATTAAGTAGCAATTAGCTGTTTGAGCAAAGGCTAAGTATTTCAATAAGCGGGGTTGTTTATTTGCTTTGACCAGGCTTACTTTAATTCTTGTTTGCACAACATCTCTTTGCTCCTTCCGAAGATGGTAAATATGGACTCGTGACTCGTTCTTTTGGAGAAAGTGTAGAAACAAAGTTTGCCTTTATTTCACTTTGCCTTGTTTCGTATATTACTTCTTTGGTCCATTCTATTCTTTTATGCGCTTCTACAAGATACCGATAGGTATTTACAAAAAGTGGGCGAGAACGAATCGAAAGGAGGTCATGTGCAGCTTGAAACGTGACCCCACTGGAATTGGGTCTTTGTACGTATACATGACATTGGTTTCTGATCTAACTGCCCCTGAATTCCACTGAGTTCTCTTTATCCCTCGAGAATAGGTTTTCAATTATTCCTTTTTAAACGCCGACATGCATGATATAAATGAAAACGGAAGACGGAGAAATCGAAACTAGATTACGAGCCCTTTAGACCCGTGACCTTGACGTTATTTTTAGTAAAGTGTGCTAGCATAGGTCTTCGTTCTAATTAATTTTGTTTTTAATTCTCCCTGTAACTTTTTCACGATTTTTCTATGTTTATAGTTTTGAGTTTTTTTTCTTTTCTTTCAAGCACTGGCATGAGTATGAAATTGAACATGAAAGCGGCTACGAACAAATCGAAAATAGCTAGATCACGTGCTCTTTCCACCCGTGACCTTGCGAGCTTTTGTGGAGAGAGGTGTTCAATCATGATGTCGCTAGACATTTTAATTTTCCTAATCATTATAAGCAACATATGGCAATCTGCGGTCTTTCCTTGCACTTAGGTGGCACGGAAAGCCGTAAAAATCTTGAACAAAAGCTCATCTTTCAAACCGGCAGTCTAAATCCCACAGGGATCAACGAACGCTTTTCATTCCACTAATTTATTCACGTTTTTCTCGTTGCCATTGTTACAAAGGAACGAAGAA